GGTGTACCTGAAAAAGCCTTTTTTGTTGTCTTAACACCACACTGGCCGGTGTCGACTCAAGGTGAGCTTTGGCTTTTCTCGTTTTCTCCCTGCAGATGTGGACTGCAGCTCTGTCCTCTTCCTCTGAAGCCAGGCCATGCTTCCTGAGGTCATGTATCTTCTTTCTCTGCCCTACTTCCAAGAGTTCCCTGTTCAGCCAGGCCCCACTTGCAGCACAAGTCGAGACCTCTTATGGAGGTCTCCTGGATACTGATATCATGAGGGGTTGTGTTGTCCAACTGGTGGATGGGACTGAGTGAATTTCAATTTACTGTGTTAGTACATGTAAGCTACCCCCTGAAGCTTGTGGTGTTTTGTCTCACCTGGGGCCCACCTTTCATCTTGGTGATGCTATGTGGGGAGCAATAATGACAAAAACTGGGCAGAATAAGTAACAGCATCAAGAACCACGATGCTAAAACTGGGTAGAGGTGGGCTTTGCCATGCTTCCTGTGGCAAACTCCCATTGACAAACCTGTGACAGTAAGCTACTTGGAAAACTTGCTAATCTTTTCCGCTTCCTTTCCCAGTTTGTCAAAACTATCACAATAAGTACTTAGTGAATGAAAGGTTAATTTTATAGTTAAAACCCTGGGCTTGAATTCAAGAAGTGTGTTTCCATTGCTTCCACTGTGTAATTCTCACATGGATTTAGGGTAAGTTGCTCAATTTCTTTGCCTCATTTTTTATTTTTATTTATTTATTTATTTTTGTATCTGGTAGATGAGAGAAAGGCCAGGCTTTTATATTCCGCATTCAGCTTCTTCCTCAGTGGGGGCGTATCAACAGTACTGCAGTAGGAACAGAATAATTTCTGTCTTGATAGAAGTGCTTGTTTAAGCACCGAGTTACTGTTTCTACTGTCCTAATTGGCACGTTCACCCGAGGAAGCAATGCTGTGTTCAGGGAGTGCATGGCAAAATGGGCCCGTACCTTGCTTCATGCGATCTCAATTCAGCTTTCTGAAGACTCTGTGACACTAACTGAATGGTAGATTTAAAATGTTTAAATACTATAAATCAGGAGCTTTTTTTTTCCTTGGCTTTAGCTAAAGAGGTAGAGTGACACTGTCGCTGTGGATTATTTGAGGGAATTTTAATAATTAGACTTGCATGAGGATTCGGAGCTGTCATCTGCCCCATCCCCTTCCCAAGTGCTGGAGCTTCTCAGTAGCTTCAGATTTCAGTTGTCTTCAAGTATCTGACTTATTCTAGCGAGAGATCTTGGGGATAATGTTATGGGGTTAAATTTTGCGTTCCTTCATGTGGCGTTTGGCCCTCATCTGAAGCCTGATACCCTTCTCGTGTAAATAAGCTCAGTTGACTCCAGCGGATCTGCTTGCACGAATGAAGAATGGTGGTAACGCATCTTTAGGGCGGGGGTTCCAGGACATTTGGGTTGTGCGTTTCTCTTAAATATGCTGGATACAAAGCTCATAGGTGCTGTATTCTCACTAGAGTGATTTTTTTGGGGAAAAAAAAAAAGTTTAGAACAAGCAGTCATTAGCAGTACGAAAGCTCTTGGTGCATTGCATGGGCATCGTCATCTATGGCCTTTGCTAGCTCCATAGAGCAACTAGAACTCGGCGGCCTTTGAAAACTCCTTTTAGTTGCTAACATTGCTATGGAAAAGCATGTTTATGTAGGCTGCTCTCTGGTCTCCCGTCGCTGAGGACAGCAGTACAGCTTTTTGGATCTAAATAAGAGACTTGGGAAAGAATGCCACGCAGCGCATCGAGCTCCTGAAACTTGAGCGGTCGATATTTTTGTAGAAGAGCAGCATGAAGCAAATGCTTTATTTTGTTTGTGCAAATGAGAAGAGCATTGTGATGCAAAGCAGTATCCTGAAAAGGCAAATGTGCTTTTTTTTTTTTTTTTTTTTCCCCGTTGTAAATATCCCAGCTAAATACTGCAGTAATTGCAAGCAGAGCTTGGCATTTTTTCTCTCTATTCTTTTCATCGATATATTTTAACAAGTCCTCATGAGACTATTAAAACGTCTTAGTTTTTGGAACATGTGGTCTAGTGGGGATAACTTTGTCTGCAGATGCAGTGGGCTGGCAGCTAGGTTTTGCATGTCTTTTCATTTCCCTCCAGATCCTCTGACCCGGCGTAACCTTTGGTCTCCCTCTGAAGGCCGGGGTGAAGGAAGTATGAGCAGGTGACTGATGATCACTGTCAATACAGCCTGCAGACAATATGTGAATTACTTTAGCAGTCTCCCTTTGCCCCCCCAGCTCCCCCTCCCCTTCTCCTCTCTTAAATCAACAAATGCAAATAGCTGCCTCCTTATTTGCTGCTATCTTGGAGGCTGCCCTGGCAGCATGGGCTTTGTTGTAGTCCCTGCCTAGTGAAAAAAGCGGCTTCAGCCTTAAGTCAGAAGAAAAAATATCAAATGGGACCTGAGCCCGCCCCTTAATGGCTAATGCTGCTAATATTTGGTCCTCTGGCGTGTGCAGGTAGGCAGATGCTGTGCTGAGAATCCTTGCTGTCTGTGTTTCAGGAGGGCTGCCCGCAGCGGTTAAACTCCGTGCTTTGTTGCTCTTTGTCTGTAAATATCCTCCTGGAGAGGAGTAGGGATTGCCCAGCGGGTCGAAGCTCGTACCTGTGCTCGTAGACCCTGCTGCCATTGCGCTTAGCTCTGTCTGTAGCACTGGCTTTATTTACCATGGGAGAACGGATACGCGTGTGCGAGATTTCAGCAGAGGCACGAGGAGTTTGTAAACCCATGTTTACGTACGAGTTTATGATCCTTTTATTAAACACCTAATTGCATGGCATGACTAAATAAAAAGAGCTGCATTTTACAGTCGTGTAAGCCTAATGTAGGACATAATATATAATACTGTTTAGTACAGCATACAGTTGATATTTGTCTGCTTTTCCAGAAGCATTGCTCAATGCAAGTTGTCACTCAGCAATTCAGATACATGAGCCTAATGCCTTGCCAGGAGGTGGTTAAAATTCTCCTCGGTTTATTTTAAGCTGTCATTGCCTATGAAAGTAAGTTTGGGTATAGACAAATACAAGGAAAGTGATTGCTTTCCACGTCAAGAAGGTGGTCCTTCTCGGGTACCTAGGGATATAATGTCTGTATTTAATGTTTTAGGATTGCAGCCAGCCGTACTGAAGGAGTTTCTCCTGACCTGCCATTCAGGAATATTAGATTAGTTTGGCTGAACCAGACAAATCGCAGTGTATGTAAATGCTCCTACAGCTTTAGAAACGTGTGTCTATAGAACCTGTACTTTATAAGAAGTCTGCTTGCAGTGTGTAGTTCGTCTTGCCTTGACATTTTATATTGCAAAAACTTTGTAACAGGTAAATAAAACTTCAGAGTTAAAGTAACAACAGTTGTAAAGCTGGGTAACTGTTGAGGTGGCCATCACTTGTGCAGCTAGATGTTAAAACTGCTGCTTAATCTCCAGGTATATTTACGAGATCTCCTTTCAAATATATATTTCATTTGCTTACCAGAAAGTCTCAATGTGCTAATAGTCTGGGGGGGGAGAATTATTACAAATTCACCAAAATCCAAAAAATTAACTTTTTAGAAGTCACCCACGTTAAAGTTTTAGTCTGCAGTAGTCCTTTGCGTCAGGTGCTGGTGACTGACACAGTCAAAGCCCACTTGGACCCTAGCTTGTAATACTTGTAAGTCACATCACGTGAAGCTCACAGCGTTTATAGTTCAGGTGGATCATGGGGAGCTTTTCCTGCATCAGGGAGCCACAAAAGGCTGTGGGAAAGACAGTGTCATGCTAGAAATCCAGCTGATCTTAGTGTGAAGACTTGAAATGCTTTCAAAGATGCTGTGTGTTCTCCTTTTTCCCACACCTCCTGTAACAAGGGTGGTTTGCTGTCACAAAATCTCCCATTTTCATCCTCTGCTTCCCTCTCCCTTTCAGCTTTTGCATCTGTCCGCCAGCAACCAGTCCAAGAAACAACATGTAGTTCTTCCTGGGCTCTTTGGGTCATTGCTTTGTGCTGGCCGCAGGTAGCACAGTGCAGGGCATCTCCCTGATGCTGTGTCCATGCACTTAGGTTCTGTCTGACATCCTCCTGGTGTTTTAATCCATCTGTTGCTAAGAGAAACGTTACAACAAAATCATCATTATTACTTCAGAGAGGTGAGATGGGTGGAAATGATTGCTAACTAGCAAGTGTAGCTCAGAGAAATCTGATTACAGCTTGCAGGTTCACATCAAATTATAATGCAGTCACAGCACATTCACGCCGGATCCATTTCGTACTGCAGTGGGAGACTGGAGAGAACCAATTCAGTGTTAGGAATGAATATAGATGTCATTTTATGCTTTAATTTTGGAAGTCCTTCTTCTAAATAAAAATTGAAGTCTGGATGGCTCCTGGCAGAAAAAGCTGGGTACAATTATGTGAACTTAACTTTCTAAAGTAGCATTTCAGACAAATGCTTATTCGTGGTACTTTGCCTAGCTCCACTTTCTCCTCTTCAATTGGATGATTTCTTTACTGCTCCAAATCGCTTTGTAGCTTCCTAGAAGTAGTCGGCATGTCTTGTGATAGTGGGAAGTGCTCTGAGAGGAGAGGGGATGTATTATGGGCTGTATAACTGGAGAAGCATTTTGAAGGCCTTCTTGATGAATGGCACTCTAGCTTGTTATAATGAAAATTACAGAAAGCATTTATAAGGTGAGTGGATTAATACTTTTTTTTTTATTTTTATTTGAATGTTTTTTTTTTCTTAGGCAAGTCCCTCTAAACTAATGGGTATAAGAGTTTTCTCTTTGGCTTTAAAGAAGTTGAATAGTTTCATGCCAACTGCTTGAGTTCAAACTATCCACGTATATTTCTTTTACGATGTGAATTGTGCACTACACTTTTCTTTTTTTTTTTTTTTTTAAGCCTTTATTAGAAAAGTTGCTTTCCATCATTCATTTTGAGGTTTTCCCCCCCTTCCCTTTTGTTTTTGTTTTTCCTCAGTTGCCATTACAAAGAGCAGTGCAAAAATCCAATCTTCCCCTTCCAAAGTGACCCGGCGTTCAATGCAGTCTCCACAGAAATCTGCTCCAGTACCAGCGCAGCGAGGCAGGAAGCCAGGTCGGGGCAAACCCCCTGGACAGTCTGCAGTTCCCAAGAAGGGCAGGTCTCCTAAAAATACCCCCCTGACCAAAAGCACCTCTCATACTGAGAATCTTAAAACAAGGAAAAAAAGTTTAAAACCGGGAAAAAAGGTTAGTCCTTATCTACTATTTTACTTTATATTGCAAAATTTTGTAGTGAGATTTTTTTTTATTTTTTATTTTTTTTAATTTGATTTTCTGGCTTTTCTTCAGCCTTCAGGGCTTTAACTGTCTTCATAGGAAACAATCTAGAATAGCTATTCTGGAATATTTTAGGATAAGCTTCTGTGGATTATTTTATTCTAGAACAGGAATACCGATTTAGCTTGATTTTATGGGTGAGTTGTTGCTGTTGAAAATGACTCTTCTGGAATGGCCATTTTCAGAAATATTGCAAGAGCCAGGGAAACCTTTAGGCTTTTCAGTCTGGATTATTTTGTTACTGAACCATATGTACACAGTTTGCTTACTTCTTTGTCTCATGTTTAGCAACAGAGGGTTAGGAACATCGAGGGTTTTGGCACAAAATGTAGGCATCTTAAGTGTGCAGGTGGACTTGCCATGTTAATCTCTTGGCTACCCCCTTGTCCTGGAGATCGTGCACGAACCACAAAGCTTCCTCCCAGGCAGTGGGTTTCCCCAGGTGCGAGCCTGAAAGCTGTGGTGCCTTTTTCACCTCAGAGCTGACTCCGAGGGCTGGATGATGCTCGGGCACCACCAGCTGCCATCGGGTCAGCCCTGCTGTCACCCCATTCCCCTCCACCAGCACTGGCAGGTGAATGATCGCAGGGTGGGCTGGTTCAGCTGCCCACACACCTCTCCCTTCTACTCCCATCTTTATCTGATCCCCACAGAGAAGCACGAATGCTGCTGCTACTGTGAGGAAGGGCAGGATCACAGCCGGGCAGATTCAGACAAGCCCTGAGCTGCTGTGGAAGCTCAATCTGTTTCCTGAGGCTCGTTCAGCCCCTGCAGGGTGTTGAGGCCAGGCTCTGAAGCAGCAGCCCTGCAGTGTCTTTCCCCAGACAGTTTGTGTCTGCCACCCTGCTGCTCCCTGCTTTGCATTAGCACAAGTTGAGGGTGGGAGGCATTGCTTTTTGTTGGGTTTTCTCACCCCCATCCACCCCCAGCTTTCAAAAAGTGGAAGTTTTGCTTTTTTATTGCTGTTTTCTTTTTTTTTCCCTTCAGCCTGGGTCAGTGTGGGCGTACAGGAAGAATTGCAGGTGGTGCAGGTGAAGGGATGGAGGAATGGCACAAGTGGGACCTCTCCCATCAGTGCTGGTCAGTGTGAAGTGCTAGTGAAACACCTTTATTGGAGCACACCTAAAAGATGCTCACACGAAACTGGAGCCAGTCACTTTGCTGAAGTGATGGCAGCAGGGTAAGGAATGATTCCAAGGACTGGAAAATGAACCCTGAGCGGTCTCTCTGCTGCCTTCCCCTCCCAGTCAGGCATCCAAACTGGTGCAGGTGGTCTCCAGCTTTATCTCTTGCTTGGTTTATGAAACTTCCCAGAGGCAGAGGGTAAAGAGAAGAAAGCTGCGCCCACCCGGACAGACTGAGCTGGTGGGCAGGGTGTTCTCTGTAAATCTGAGGGGCTTTAAGGGAGATCACTGAATGCATTTTGTATCTTAAGGAGGTACTCAGGTGGAGCAGGATGTGCGCTTCTGTGTTAAGAGTTTTGTGCTCCTCTGCCTGTCACGAAAAAGAAATAGTGACTAGTTGGAGGCATCTCACCTTTAGGAGAGGCTTTCTGGGCTGGGTGATGGGAAACATCTGCGTGGAGCACTGTGCTTGGTACCTGCTCTGTGTGAGGTCAAATCACTTCTGATTTCCTCTGTGGGACCAGGGAACCGAGAGTTAAGGTTTGTAGGCTCTGGGTTTGAGCTATCCATCTAACTCGGCCTATCACTATAGTAACTTCTGCATTAAAAACTTTAAAAATGAGCTCCTTTTGAGAAGCCATGGAAAGTTTCTATTGCTAAAGTACGTGGTAGGATTGCCAAGACGTTACACACATGTGCAGTCTTTGCAGCGTTATACCTGGTACTGTTTGAGTGAGGAGAGGGAATCACTCTGTGGGAGCTCTGTATCTGTGGGGTGTATTTGACACGGAGGGCCACGGAGCTTACACACTTCACAATGAGTACACAAATGTAGTGTAAGTGATAACGTGCTTAGAGATTGAAATGCCTTTTTTTTTTTTTTTAAAGACAGATACAGAAAGAAACCACCCACTTTTCAGACTGTGCAGTTGTGCTCCAGATGTGAGCTGGCTGTGTGTTTGGGAAGGTTGGTCTATGCCTGATGGAGTATAGATTTGTTCAACTTCTTAACTCTTACACTGAAGAGGCAGTCTGGGGCTCTGCCTTTTTAAACTCATTATGCTGCTACGTTTATCATCGTGCAGGTATTAATTTGTATTACACAGCTAGGAGTGTTAAGCTGTCTTGTCATTTTCTCCTTTATTTAAATGTTTTCTAAGCTTCTCCATGAGGATGACATGCAGTGTTGGGTTTTATTTCCCATTCCCAACCCACAGCGTGCACAGTATGTTTTTTTTTAATTCTGTCACAATGAAGCAGAAATCTTTTTGCATCTCTTCCATCGTTTTTTAAAGTACACTTCGCAGAACAAAGCCAAGCATTCCTTCCAGACCCACTGATTAACACGTACTTCTCGAGGAAGGGCCTTGGACTGAGTGTGGATCACAGCCCTAAATCTGATCCCACGAGAGCAGCATCCACATCAGATCTGTGCAGTCAGTGGGGGCTGGATGGCATGCAGGGCCAGGTGGTGAAACTCGGACCAGGCAAATCTGCTGGGCTCTGCTGGGAGGACGTAGCTTTGCTGCTCCTCTATTTGGGGTTGCAAAATGAGAACCTTAGTTGAACAAGCACGATACTGCTGTATTTCCAAAACATGTCTTCCGAAATAAGGAAAGGACAAGGTAAGAAATCACTGAGTAGCCTCACCACACTTAGGTGTTTGTGTGGCTGGTTCTTCTTAGCTTGGTGTTTGCGTTTTGTTTTCATGCCTCATTTCTCCCGTTGCCTCCCTCCATGTCCCTCTCAACTCGACCACTGGTATTTTGCAGCATGACAACAGCCAACTGGTCCCCTGGCGAGTCCCTTCTCCGGAGAGGCTTCAGGAATGTCAGGCTTCAGATCAAAAGCCCAGACTTCCTAACTGCATTTTTGTTCTCTGTGTTAAGGAGGAGATTCTCAGTGCTGAGGATGAGACCTTTCTGCTTCCCAGTGTTAAGATGCATGGGCAGTTTCTGACAAGCCATACATCAATGTTTGGCTCGGTGTTTGACCTGAGCCACTCACTCACAAAGCAGTGCCAAACCTTGGCAGTCTCTCTCTTGTGTTCATGGTGATTCCCTCCAGTACCGTGTTGTCAAATAGTTTCTACAGCCAAGCGTGTTTTCTCTGATCTGTAATGAGCACAGAAATTTTCTTTAATGTGCTGTGGGTTTTGGAAGGAAATCAGTTTATTCTCTGTAGGTGTTCTGCGGAGGTTAAGCACCAGTTGCTCTTAGGAAGGTGTGTGTTTTGATTGCTTACTGCGTGATTTTTAATGTATTATTTAGTAAATATCGTGCTTGTAAGAGTGGTTGCTGATAAGTGGATGCTTCTCTTAGGGAACTGACTGATTTTTCTCTTAACTACAGAACAATGTCAGACCACCAGAGTCAATCCAGAGTAGCCAGGTCTCCGCTGCCTTCAGCAGTGTCAAGACCTTGGGTAACCTCTTCCCTTCCTATTCTTTTGTGGTAGGTAAGAAAACGAGGACATAACCTGTTCTCATGCAAAAATAAATGGTGTAGGAAGAGGTGAAGAACTATTTTCCAATTAATTGCTTCTGTTATTTCGGTGCAGTTTCATAACACGTCAGAGCATGTTAGAAGTGCCTTTCTCATGTATATCTCTTTCCTAAATCCTGGCCCAAACCAAATTACAACACCATTTGCTTTTCCTCAGCTGGAAGGATAAGGCACGCTGACCAATTTCCAAGTCCTTGGGCTACGAGCTCTGGTTGTCTGTCATATGATAGGCTGCAAATAAGTTTGGTTTGGGAAAAGAAGAATATTTTGGCAACCCATGTGACTGGATTATAACTACGGGTTTATTTGATATCTTGCGTAAAACACCCATTCCTGAAAGTGATTAGTTGAGAATTTCAGCCCATTTGAAACAAGTTGAAGGAAAATGTAGATGCACTGTAAAGCTGACAGCTGAATTTGAATCAGGATTTATATGTGAATATAAATATATACATGGCCCAGTTAATTTATTGGAGTTATGATAAACCCAGATGATTGGAAGAATATGGCCAGGAAAGTAATCCAAAACACCTATTCTGTGATTCCTAAAATGTAGAAGGGTTATGAATGGATACATAAAAACTCATTGGTTTTTTGCTCCTTCTCAGGTAGAGGTGGGTTTCTTTTTAAGTCATTTGTCTTCTGCTACTTCACTCAAGTAGCTGTCAATGCAAATGAGCAGTTTCTGGACTTCCTTTCCTGGATTTCATCGTCTTTGCAGTGTGTGGTACTTCTGTAATAAGGAGCTACACACACTCCTAGTAGTGTGATTACTGATAGTAGAAAGGGTTAGTATGCTACTTAAGACATTAAACATTTTGACTTTGTTTATTATTTTTTTTCTTGAAACAGAAAAAAATCTTCCCAGAACAACTGTCTTCCGCACCACCTTCTCCTCTTTCTTCTCCTGATGGGGACAGTGGCACTACACAGATACTTAAAGATGGAGGTAGTTTATCTGGTGCAACTGCAGCAGTTATATCCACAGGTAAAAGTAAAAAATAATGACATTTTCAGTGTGAAATTGCTTCCATTTCAAGAAAAATAGTTATGTCATTTTATGGAAAATACACTATAAACTTATTACAGCAAATAATGAATCGCCTACTATTTTTTTTAAGGTATTTGTAGGTTGCTGTGCACAACTAATATTTAAATGCCTACGTTATAGCAAGAAGTGGTGGAACAGAGAGACTTTTGGTAGATCTACTAGACCTGGCTAGTGCTAGACTAGTACAAACGAGACTAGTTTGTTTCTGTCTGAAAGAGAAACTGTGTGGTTCTTCCATGTCTGTCACACTCCTCGATATATGAAAAGGGAGCAGATGTAGCTGAAAAACCAATATGATACTCAAGCATCATTCACACTTGACTATCAAAAAACAAAAGTGAGATTTTGTCTCTCTGGAGCCTTACATTAAAAAGCAATTCCATTAAAACCAAGTTAAGGCGATCAGGGGAAATAAGTCCCTCCTCCCAGAACAAGCAAACTTAAGGGCAATGAAAAGTATCTTAAACAGGGTGGGCAAAACAAAAATAAGCTACTTAATGAGCGAACTCGTTGAGGAACTTGTAACCCTGTAATGAAACAATTTGTATGTTGTCAACTGAAATCTCAGAACTTTCTAAAAAGTCCATAAATTATGATAATTTTGTTTGGGGTACTTTTGACATTTAAAAACTGTTCTTACAATAGAAGTTGTCAGGCCCTTCTCAATCCCCACTTCAGTGATGGATGAGGGGAAAATACCTACATGTTTCCTAGGAAAATAAACCTTTCAGGATTCAGTTGTTACTGAGATCAGACAGAAGATGTCACAAAAACTCTTCTTGCTGATGTGTATCTTTTTTTTTAATTCATACAAGGATGCATCCTCCAAGATGAAGACATCAGAGAGTAAGCTGATACACACGTAGATAGAAGATCATTGGAACACTTCACAGAAATGTTTCATTTATAAAAGTCAAATGTTTTTAACTAAGCCCGAATAGCACCGCAGTTAAGACAACGTGGCAGCCTTTTGTATAGCGAATGCTTAGGTTGTCTGCTTAATCAGCACAGAAAGACATTTTTTCTTTAAGCTATAATAGTGCCTCGGGTCCATCCTGGCCATATAATAGTCAAAAAGAATGAAAAATAAAAAATCTTCAGTTATGTCTTTTCCTCTTATTTTTTTACAGTGTTGTTCATTTTGAAAGATTTTCATAGTCCCTGTAAAAAGTATTTTCGAAAGTCTGGTTTGCTTCTGTGATAAGCTTTAAACCACCTCACACAGTTTTCAGAGAAGCGTGTTCCTTTTATTTAGCAGAGAAGGCCAAGCTGTAGTGTGGAAATCATACACTAGTGGTTTGGGGCTGCTGAGGATAGGGCTGCTGGCCATTATACCTGCACGTGGCAATGCTGCCTAGGTGCTTCTGAACGGGCATCCATGGCAGGCATATGCCTTAGGGTTTGGTTTGTGGCAGCTTCTCAAATACGAGGGGAAAAAAAAGGAAGCAATTTGGTAAGGCCAGATTTTTAGAATTGATTTTTGGTAGTTCAGAGGACTTGCCGGTAGTTTTTACTTTATTGGTACTGGGGTGCGAATAGAGATGAGTCAAAAGAATAGCACAGATGGTGATGGCTTTGTTTCCTTGGCAGGGTAGAGAAAGGCTGTAGGGATCAGAGGGAAGTGGCTATGGGACTGAGGCAGGAGAACCTCAACAAAATGCAGAGAGAGAACTTTCTGCATGCTCAAAAAGTATGCATGCATGATGGTATGTGTGTTCCACTTTGGGCTGAACGGTACATCTTGTCATCAAGACTCAAACTGCAGAAACAGCTTGCAGATCAGGCGTGTGAAACGTGTCTCTATTTTTCTGTGCACACCAGCTGTGATTAAAGCAGAAGTACTCTACAGTTCACACGGCTCCTTCTTTTGCAGTGTGTGTTTATGTCAACAAGCATGGAAATTCTGGGCCTCACCTGGACAAGAAGAAAGTTCAGCAGCTTCCAGATCACTTTGGGCCGGGTCCTGTCAATGTGGTACTTCAGCAGGCTGTACAGGCTTGTGTGGATTGTGCCTACCAGTCCAAGACCGTCTTTGGATTTCTGAAATCTGGCCATCACGGAGGGGAGATGATAACTGGTATGTGAAGATGTTTGATTTCTGTTTCTTCGCAACAGGGGAAGGAACTGCAGGGAGTTCATATCATTTTTGTAACACATAAGCACAGTCAAGAGTATATACTTGGGAACTCTGTTATTAAGAGAGCACTGGTGGAGTGTAATTTATCTCAGCGTGGGCCGAGGATGTTCTGAACAATTCTTAAATTAGAATTCAGCAATAGAGAAGTTAAATTCCATGTACACTCTGCAGTTAGGTTCCTATAAGTAGAGCTTGTGCACCTCACTTAACAGCTGCAGCCAAACATTTGTCAAGTAAGCTCAGTGCAAGGGAAATATCAGATTTATTAATTCAAGTCATTCGCATAATCTTATCCATACATAGTATTTGTGTTCTTAATGCCTTAAGCAAGTGGGTGAAAAGTTTCCAACTAATCTGTTTAGCTTCCAGGCAAGTGATTCCACATGTTAAATTTGCTGCTTCTTCCCTTCCCCCGTTCTCTAGTCTCTTAGGTCAGTGTTCATCCACCTATGTCCTCTATTAAGGAATAGGTTTATCTCTGCTACATATTAATGGCAGGTCTACAGATAAATTATCCATATATCTCAAACTGAATAGCTGCTGGTTGACGTTTTTTTTTCTTTCTGGGCTAGGAAATATTCTGCAGAGCAGTTAGCACATCAATTCATAATTCCATCACTGGTAGTAAAAAGACTTTGCATTACTTTAATCTCCTTACATTAACACCAGATGTGAAAGATGATTAGTGGGATACAGGTTTAATTAAATCCTCATAAAAGATGTTGCTGTCTAACGATATTTAAAACATAGTACCCTGACCTGCATGGAGCAGAGCTTCAGTAGTCCTTGCCTATGTATCCCCATGAGTTTGTTCACAAAACGGGTGCTTCTTCTCTTCTGTGTAGTTCTTATTTATTTACATTCACAAATTCTGTAGGAAAAGGAATTGCTGGGTTACACCAGGCTTCAATACAAGGCCTGGATTCAGTAGCCCTGGAGTTGAGGAACCTGCCTCTGTAGATTGCTCCCAAAGCTCGGTCCTGCAGCTCACTCAGGTGTTAGAGCCACAAGACTCCAGTGAGTTTCTTGTGGTCTTGAGCTCTTGTCTTATCGGCTTGTCAGGCAGGTCTCTGAAAAGCTGGGTGAACAAACACTTAAAACTCCGTGTCATTTGATCAGAAATTTTCGTGTGATACATTTTGAGAAGCACAAAATGTGACTTGGGTTAATGTAGCACATTACAGCCGGCTGTGCTTGTGAGCATCATGGAAAAACAGAAAATAAACAGTAGAACAAAATGAGAGAATGAAATTGTGTTTTCTTGTAGAAATTTGTTTGAAAGTGTTTTTAGTGTAGGCTTTTTTCTTTTTTTTTTCTTTTTTTTTTTTTTTTAAGACTAGCAAGAAAAATAATTTGTTGCATCAGAGACTAAGCAAAGAAATCTAAATCTTCTGTGGACTCACGAACTTTAATGGCAAGTATTGTATCTGCCATAGGAGGAAGCTGTATTCTGGGACATGGATAAAATAATCTTTCTGGAATATGTGTGAATAATTAGTGGGTTCTTTGGTTCAGCTGCCAGAGAAAATAATTGTTTTGAATGGAGTTGAATTTAGCTTTTTTCCCTCTTTTCTTACTCAAAACAGAAACACAAACCATTTTATTTTTGCTTGATGCATAAGGTTTCAATTCAGGCGAATGCAACTGAAAGGAAATTAGAGGCTTGATTAACAAGCCCACTCATGGTGGTAGTGTCAGCCTCTTTTTTTCCCCTTGTAGCTCAGAGACTGTGGCGTTTGGTGGATGAAATAGTCTGAGTTTCAGATAAATCTTCTCAAGCAGAGAATTAAATCAGTCTCTTGGGTGATTTTCTTCACTATCAGACAAACACATTTGTCTGATAGTTTAGCTCTCAGCCTTTCTCCTGGCTTTCTGTTTCAAACATGCCTACACAATGGAAAGTAAAGAAATGCGAATGACTTTTCATCCCATGGGCTGGGATTGCACAAACAAGCTCCATTCCCTCTGTATTTGTCGTTAAATGCCGAGGTTATTGCACCTCGGAAGTACTCCTTTTTATTTTCAGCCCTGGCATTTATCTAGGAAGCAAGAAGCATGTGCTGTATCCACAAGCAGAGCCGACTGTTGTGCCTGTGGATCTGGATCCCTCTCCTTTGCTTGGAGTTCCTGTGGTTGCCCTCGGGGGTTTGGAGTAGGAGGGAGCTGTGTTTGCACTGACTGAACCCTTACTTGTGGATTTTTCCCATGGTCTGCCTTGTTGGGGCAGTCAGATGGCTTTCGGAAGTTTCTTGCTTTATCCTCTTGACAACTCAAAGATAATATTGTTCTTTTCAATGCTTCTTTTCAAAATGAGACATTAAGATGTGGAGAACAAGTAATTTCCCCAAGGCCACATAAGACTACCTGTAAGGCTATTATAAAGTGTTTTAAATTGTGGTTGGAGCTGACAGCACTACCTTGCAGTAAATACCAGGAGAGCAGCCTGTGCTAGGTCTCACAGCCCATTTGCTCTCCAAACGGGTCGAGCTGCAAGCAGAAATACGCCAGCAGAGACCCGTTCCCCAAGCAGGAGGTAGGGAACCTTGTGGCTGAGCCACATGTGTGTCAGTAGGATTTCATCTCAGCATTGGAGTCTGGAAAAAATGAATGGGCTATGGAAACCTGTGGGTCCAGGGCTTGTCCCTGTGGTACTGACTCTTAAATTTTAGGCACTTGTGTTGGGTCATGAAAGCAGACAAGAGGTAGCACAGTTATTGTTGATGCTCACCCAGTGTTCTCCCATTAATTCTAATCATAAGCTTGCTTACTGTTAGCAGTGTAAGTCACACTTGTGATTTCCTAAGGAAGCCTAAAATATGCTAAAGCTTGGGCGTTTTCTTTATTTTTCCCGTATGTTATCGCCTCTTCTGTAACACAGTATGGAAATGTCCCTTGCCTCAGATCTGTAACTAAAGACTTCCTTGTCATTTCTGTTCTTTTTTGTGTGCTTTTTTTTTATTGGTTCATTTTTGAAAATGCATCTGCCACCAACAAAACGTGATCCTCTACAGCTCTGCTTGTCATTTGGAAACTCGTGCTAAAAACAGAAAGCTGCTTGATAGGCTGAAAACCCAAGAAGACAAATCGATGCATAAACCTGGTGTCTATGCTACTTCTTCGCAACCCTAAGCATAAGTTACAAGTCTGGTCCTGTTTCGTTGTAATGTCTGCCTAATCAGAAGTAACTACATTCAGCTAATGTAATGGTGATTGTTTATCTGTGTCCCGGTGATGCTTGCAAGATTCAGTCTTTCCGAATCTTACCAACTGTCACAGAAGAGGCAAATACCATTAACAACATCAGTCGGAATGTTTGGGGGATGAGGAAGGAAGTCAGCAAATAAAAGACGCTGGCACATGTCCAATCTCTTCGTAATTGCTCATTCGAGCCTGTTGTTGTGGTGTCTCCGCCACCTTGCTCCTGTTGAAATAAATGGGAGCCTGACCGCTGCAGAGTTGACAGCAGGACAGATTTCTCCAATGGTAAAATATCAAATGGCAAAACAGTTTCTGCAGTCAGAATTTCAGTGGCAATGGATGCCAGCATAATACCCCTGCCTTTTTTTTTTTTTCCCAGCAAAAACTGCAATGGGTCTTTTCAGTGTTTTCTCCTGCAAATAGGTGGTGCAGAGGTTACTGCTTTATAAAGCAGGCAATAGAAATTATCCATAAGGTTTCGTTCTGTTATGCTGGTGTGAATCCAGAGTTATTTTATTAACGTGAGTTTCCACAGAAATTTAAAGTGGCATGGATCCAACAGAAGGTCGAATCAGTCCTTTGGAGATAAATTTGTTAAATATCAGAACGATTGTTTACTCCTCTCATGTCTTGCATTGTTTAAATCAAAGCTCCTTTCCTTGATGGTGTTTTGTTATACTTCATGATGCTTGGGGGATGTTTGACATCGTCTTCTTGTTCACAGCTTCCTTTGATGGGGAGAAGCACGCCATCAATCTTCCTTCTGTAAACAGTGCATCGTTTGTCCTACGTTTCTTGGAAAAACTCTGCCACAGTCTGCAGTGTGATAATCTTTTCAGTAGCCAGCCCTTCAGCCCTTACATGGGATGTGCACATAGCCCTACGGAGTATGACAGGAACAAACCAGGTACTATTAAGCAGCTCTTATTTTCAAGTACTGTTGTCTTTGAGAAGCGTGGTGACTTTGTGGAATTTAACTTTTTAATCTGCCTTGCTATAACTTGAATTGTTCAGTTTGTGGTGAATTCGTTCCAGAGTGCACGTGCTTTGACAGGTTGAGATAGCTCATACCACATGTGCAGAAATCATTTTGTTCAGCAAATTCTTCCTTGCAGTCAAACCAGGAAACATATGTATGTTGTATGTATCACTGGGCTGCTACTAAGAGAACAAGCTCAAAACTTCACATTTCATCTGTTCAATTTCTGTTTGAATCATAAAATAAGCTTACAGAAAAACACTCACTGTCTCATAAGAAGGGGCTTGCTCTGACAGGTGATAGAGTTCAGCCCATCCCATAACAGGAAGAAGTCCTTTCTTCCATCTTCATTCGTCTTGCTCAGTGGCAGCTCCAAAATTTTAAATTCCTCAACATACTGTCTAGTCTTCTAGTAGAGAAGGTGGCTTTTGCAGGTGGCTGCTTGTGATATTGTGTATCAGCCCAGTATCTTTCTCTGCTACACCAGGAGTGTAGAGAGAGTGAGAGGGAAATGGCTTGCGCAAGATCTCCCATCAGGTGGTTTGCAGTGCCTGGTATTACAAATCCCAGCCCGAGGGTTATCAGGAGCTGTAGCTGAGAAAACTTTGACATCAGTGCAATTTCACAAGATTCATATCGGGGATGAAGCTTCCTCACAGCTGTCTGGTAGCTGAGTCTGACTTCTAGGAGCTGCTTTAGAAAAAAAAAACATATTCTTTTTTTTTTTTCTCCTCTCCAATGGAGAAATTGTATTTGTTTCAGTCTGTCAGATGAAAGTCATTTGTTTTAACACTTGTCAGAAAAGTAGCCAAGGTCAAGGTAGTTTGGATGATGACAATATAAACTAAACCGTTACTTCATCTTTGAAGGTTTGTATTGAAATGGCTGAGTTTGTGTGACATAAGAAACTGATCTGTAACCTGGCGAATGCCTGATGTATGTTTTTGCTTTTGTCCTTTTACTTTCCTGTGAGAGTTTTATGCCAGAATAAATAGGTGGTGACTTTCCTCTTCACAGCAAAAGAAGAAATACCTGAATGCAGAAGTGCAAAACGATACTCTCAGGACTCTCCACCGTATACTGCTCCCCTTTCCCCTAAACTTCCCAGGAATGATGCTCATCCATCTGAAGGTAATTACATTGTAGTATTATTATATATGAGGTTTACCTGTGATTTCAGTACTCTCAGTCAAAATGGACTGAGTGCAACGCATGTGTCTAGTTTGTCTGTAGTCCTTGACAGGCCAGGGTGGAAGTGTGTTAATTATTGATCAGTGGCACAGATTTTGTGCTTATGGAAGATCTACTGCAAGTTCAAGAAGTCCTCCTCTTCAACATGCTTGCATTTTTCATGAAGTCACCCAGGCAAATAGGTGATGTATGAAGCCTCCTGCTTCATGTATGGCAATTTAGTAGCAAACCAATTGCCTTGAAATGGATTAGGAGATAAATTAGAAGCAACTCTAATAACTCTGGGCTCGAGCCAACAGGTGAGTAAGGGTGCATTTTGATGATACGATTAAGCTCCATTTATGGCTGGCTGCCACGGAAAGCTGTGCTGATCCTGCTTTCCTCACCTCCTTGTCCTTGTAGCGGGCCCCACATCTCCCTGAATGGGTGGCAAGCTGAGCCCGTGACCCAAAGCACAGAAAACATTTTGGTGAAGCCAAGAGTCTGTGCAGTTTACTTCTCAGGACTGACTCCATGTGGACGCAGATGAGTGCAGGAAAGAGTTGGATAAAATGCAGCTATGGCAAGGGGAGCAGAGCAGCTTCCCCATGGCAGCTAGCTGTTAGGCTGCTCTGGCTCCGGGACAAATAGTGCCTTTGCCTGCCCCACAGCAGAGCTGCAGTAACTGAGCATGCACCCACTCTTCGTCTGCCTCAGATGTGAGGTAAAGCATGCTGGTTTAAACCTCAGTGAGAGATCTATGAGGGAATGGTCTTATTCCCCTTTTGCTACTTAACTAGTTAAGTGTATAGTAACTCGTTGATGTGACTCATCCCATCTGATCCATGCTTTCTGTTGCTGCAGTATATTGGGATATAATTGCCAAAGGCTTTTTTTGAAGCCAGATAGAGACGAGCTCTTTGCTTCTTCATATTCTTTTTTCTCTTTTTTCTTTTTTTTTTTTTTGAGGTTCTGGGGTCCTTTTGTAGTTATTAGCCTCAGCGTGGGCAGAAGGATCTCTTTTTCTGTGCAGATTAGAAAATCATAGGATTTCAGTTAAAGCAGAAAAGGAAATCAAATTAAAATGTTCAAAGTGATAGTTCAATAAGAGTCACCATTTCAAATGTACAGTAACAGCAGCAAGACAGAAATTAACAGTCAATACAGAACTGTACCTTTCCTGAAGGAATACTGGGGTAGTTGAACAATATCTATGCAATTAAATCAGGCATTTCTGGTAGGTGACTTCAGGAATAAGCGTAGAGCATTTAATTCGACTGAAATAGTTGTTTTAATTGGACAAAGCAAGCGTTTGAGTTAGAGCTGCATTCTCTTGTAAGAAAGCTCCCTCAAAGAAAGCCAGCATGCACGTACTGCTTTTTATGCCTTGTGGAGTAGTTCGATACTGGATCCCTTTTAAAATCAGTAATTCGTTACAAAGTGCAGTTACCTGGGGTAAAAACAAAAATAAAGAAAGTTTTGCCATGGTTTCAGAAGTTTGAGTTTGCACTCTGTGTGTTTCAAGAGGCAAAGTATTCTCTAGTGTTGTGTGTTTCCCATTAGGGCAGTGTCCTCTGCTGAAAATCTGGAGGTAATTTCATAGCGGTCAGTCATGGGCTGGTTAGCAAGAAAGATCTGCCCCTGAAAAGTTCTGGCTCTATTGAGACATAGTCGTCTTGAAAGAGCTGTTTTGAAATATCAATTGAACGCAAAATGGAATAATTGTGGGAAAGGGTCTTTCAAACAGCTCGTTTTCCTTCTGATCTGCTCAGGGATATGTTCTGCAGATTTTGCTGTCTTTTCTGCTCGCTAACAGTTTCTTCTCAAAGTTTTGAAAGATAAGGGAGAGGAAAGAGAAATAACCCAGTCTCCCTCCCCTTGGAAACAGAGTGTTCCTAGCACTGCAGCCAGTTACATCACGCAGTTATGTATGGCAGAACAACTGACTTCCTATTCCCGGAGGAGCTTCAAGAAAACAAAACGTCCAATTCCTGCTAAGGCCTTCAGTCCTAAACACTCTATTGTCATCCTTACAATTGAAACATAAGGCCATAACGCCTTTTATTAGCTTTTTATTAATTTATCCACAGATCAGGCATTCTGCAGTGGAACCTCCCATGAAACAGGGAAAAAAAAAAACCAGTTTGCTTTCCATACCATTTTTACACACATCTGATCAAAATGTTGAGGTAGGAAAACTGTCATTCATTGCTGCGTTGTTGGCAAGGCTCTGTGTGTCAGACAGCAATCCTGAATCAGCTGTCAAGCCAGTTGACCACTTCTTCAATGAGACTGCAGCTGGGTTTTGTTCGTAGAGAAGCTGGGTGGATGGAGAGGGAGTGGATTGGATGGCGTAGCTGCCAGGCACAAGCACCTGCTGTAAAAGATGATTGCCCCCTGCAACATGCCAGCATTCCCACCTTCTGAAATCCGTGTCTGTGTGTTCTGCTGAACCTTAGACACCTTCGTGTTGCTTTGCTGTAGCTAATTGAAATATCAACTCTGCCTTTTGGTCTTTGACTGAGGTTCCTGTTAGTGTTCTCGTTTCCTACTGATCTAATGTTCTCTTGGTTTCCTCTAATTTTACAGTGCTTATCATTGACTGCATCTGTTATTCTCTTGGAAATTGTATAGGAAGATGGCTTTTGGTTTCATTTTGGCAAGTTGCTGCAGCTACTTCAAGCTGACAAATGTAAAGGGGTTTGTTTTCTTTGAAAACCTCAGTATCCGCTGCTCTGCTTTTTTGATACAGATCTAACAAACTATAAAGTTTGCAGTGGTGGTTTTGGGGCTTGGGTACTTAAAGGCTTCTTTATGCCACAACTATCAAGTTTATTGAAAGATGTTACATCATCTTGTAGATCTTGCTGTGCTGAGTTCTCTAAGCAGGGAGCTGATGCTCTCATTATCCTTGCCCCCCTTTGGGATTATGTTGTCTGAAGACCATTACTGCAAAACACACTTAATGTTCTTCACTAAACTTCACTTTTAAGCAGGTTTCAGGAGAGAGAACCTAAGGCCTCACGGAGCAAGTTAAACATGCTTGAGAAGCTCAGTCTGGTGTTGTTGGCTTTTGTTTTTTTATTTTAGTTTGGTTGATTTTTCTTTCTTGTTTAAGAAAAATGCTCTTCCTTTAGCTTTAATCCTGGTATGTTCCCAACAAATGGTTGAAAGTTGCCATATAAGAGGAGTAATAAGGAGTATATTTTAGGAACTTGTTTTCGCAGATTGTACCAGTTATCCCAAAGAATATGCTACTCCACTAGCATATGTTTTATAACTTTGCTAAGAGTAATTTTCAAGATGGTATTGCGGGGTTTACACTTCTGTGAACCTGTTAGCTATATTTTCCAGCTCTTAGCTCTCCTGCCAAAGCAGCATTTGTTTCATACAGATTTTTACATCATGCTTCCAAGTTCTTTCTCAGGCTAGATGTTGGCCTGGTGCAAATGGAGATGAGTCATACGAGGGCTCGAGAATGGAGTGGTGTTCTCACTGGTTTTTAACTACACGTCGATACAGCATCGTGGTCAGGGTGCATTGTGTTAGTGTGTATCTGGGATTCACTGCCTTCTGTAGCTTTGTGTGTAATTTGTTCAATTTTTATTGATGGCCGCTGTCTCTGGACATGTTGGGATCTACAGATGATAATTGTCCACTTGTTTATGAAGTTATTGATAGAAGTTTTTTGTTTATATTAAAAAAAAAGATCATAGAAATGCTTGCTGAGATTTTGTATGTATTAATGCTAACATCAGGCAATTTAAAATTAAAAAACAATCCTTATGTCCCTGCCCTGTTGGTAATATTTAACAAATATATGTGAAATAATTTATGGAAGGCTGTCTCAAACTTTACATGTTAGATTTATTTATTTATTTATTTATTTATTTATTTATTTATTTATGTAGTAAGGGCCCAGTGATTACTCAAGGAAGAGGTCAACTATTCTACAGTAGTGCTTTCCTCACAGGAGATTCATTACCAGGCTTGGAACCTATAGTTATCTTCAGAAGAACATAGCAAGGATCTAAGTAACAGAGTTTAAAAACCCATTATTTTGAACAGATCAATGCTTTCTTTTTTTTACTTTTTTTTTCTCTTTTCTGTAGCAGAAACGTTACCTATAGAAGAAAACAGCACTTCCAAAGAGCATCGCTTTTCTGAGGACTCTATGGATTCTGCACTTAATTCAGTAAATCCTTCCAGCCCGACCTGTCGAAATTCCACTGAATATCGTTCTTCAGGGAGCACAGCATATTACAGAAATTCCTTTCAGCCAGTGACTGCTACCTCAAATTCAGCCCCTGTCCTGCGCCGGCTCTCCTTGAGCTCTGCTGGGAGCAGCAGTTTCTATGAAGTCAGTAGGAATCGAATACAGAGGAGGATTGAAGGTATGCTCTACGCCTAGGCTTTCCAAAGCATATAGCAGCTTTTATTAACACACAAAGTCCGTGAGTTATGAATAAAGAAGTTCTTTGCCATAGAAAATAGGTTGCGTATGGATTGAGATGTTGTGCTGTTGCCAAGCACGTCAGGCTTGTTAACCAAAGTTCAAATGCAGAACCTAAGCCTGTTAGAACTAACACTGTGGTGCAAGCCAGAGGGGTCTTGCCTGCTGCACTTTGCTCAAACTAGACTGGGCAGTGCTAGTTACGTGCAACTCACTTCCTGAGCATTTTATCAGCCATTGCTGTGTTGCTGAAATATGGAGATAGGGTTTCCTCCTGTCCCGCTGTCTGCACACTTCAGCTTGCATTTGCCACGTTCCCAGATACCAGCATCTTAGGACCCAGGAACCAAATATGAGTAAAAGTAATCCCTCTAGGTATGTCATTGTGCTAATGTTTATTCTGCTGTAAATATCTGCAGTTGTATAAGGTATTTAAAGACAAATGGAACAATTCAGTATTACTTGGGGGAAAATAAAACATCCTTCATCTTAATATATGGCAAAGAATGAATAATAAAAGCCTGTTGTTAATAGTAAGAATGCCTTATGTAAAATGAAATGTGTTTTCCTTGTAAAGACTAGTGATATTTCTTCCTTTCACAATATTTTTTATCCTGAAAGCTGCAAGTTCCACAACTGGACCGGACCTGAATTCACTAAAAAGGGAACCTTCAAGAATGTTGAATAAGGATCCTTCCACCTGGTCGATAGAGGAAGTAATGCGCTTTGTGAAAGAGGCTGATCCGCAGGCTCTAGCTCCACATGCAGAACTCTTTAGGAGACATGTATGACACATATCCATTCTGTTCTAGTAGATCTTGTCTATCACACTAATCTATTAGAATACAGCTTTCATTTCTGTCACTGTCTTTGCAAGTGAAGGTAGAACAGACTCTACTCACTTGTATAATAGAAGGAGGCTGAAAAAATATTTTTCTGCCTGAAACTCCTCATGTAGTGTTTTGGTCTGTTTCGTAGACTGGTTATCCCAAAGTAGAGAAGCTTTACCTGGTTACCTTTGCACTTGGTCATTCATACTAAAATTCAGAGGTTGAATTGAAATGTTTAATTTGTCTGTTTTGCCAAGCAATGCATGGAGTTTCCTAGGATCTAACAAGATGTTGTATTTAGAGAGAGAAACTCGTAAGTGTTGGTTTCTGTTGCTTTTGGTCTCCCCTTTTCCTTCTTCTCCCTGTGCTTTTCTATGGCAGGTAGCTCAGCAAAGAGCTGCTTTATTATTTCATTTTATACGTGGCCCTCCAAAATGAAGTTGGCTTTCTCGTTAGTGGTATTTCCCCCTTGTTCCGCGTTGGCTCTTACTAACAGATAAATTTCACTTTAAGCTGAATTGAAAGGAAAATTCAAAGTAACTTTTTACAGAACTTCCTGTCTTATGTGCTAGTTATTCTTAGTTGTATAGCAAGACCAAATGTCACTTGCTTTGTCGGGTTTATGTTTTAAAAAAAAAAATAAGACAGAGTGGTTTTCTTTATGGTGTTTTAGGGAACTAATTGCCTGTCTACGGTATGTAATGCTACTAAGAGCTTGGGACTGCTATATTTCAGCAGCTTCTCAACCAGGCAGTTGCAATCTGCCTAAGTTGTCCTCGGTCTTGATCCTAACAATCTGTCTGCCTTAACCTGGATGTAGATCTGTCTTATTTCACGGATTCAGATGGTTTGTAACCCCTTCCTCTGCGTGACTATTTGCATGCACACGCCAGAACCCTCCCACAGCTGTGTTCAAGGTTCAGTGCAAGGCCTCAGTGCTTGGATCATTTAATCTCCAACTGCACAGACCTTCCTTTGCAAGCTTTTTTTTTCTTTCCTTGACCTATTCTTTTTTTTTTTTTCCTCTTTTTCCCAGCTAGTACTTTATTTTGCAGGCTGCTTGGTCAGTTTTTTACTTACTGTAATATTGTTTAGCATCTCACATGCCTTAGTCTTACCGTAAAAATACTGAAATAAATTTCCCTTCAGTGGCCAGGTGTAAATATCAAAGTACTGCACTAAGTTACTGCCTTATAAATGGTAGATACGTTTTTACTGCAGTAGAAACAAATGCATTGTACTTTCCGGTGTCACCATGCAGATGGTTAAAACAGTTGTGTGTTGTTGTGTTTATTCTCTTCCTTCTGCAGGAAATTGATGGGAAGGCACTACTGTTACTGAGGAGTGAAATGATAATGAAATATATGGGACTGAAGCTGGGACCTGCCCTAAAGTTGTGCTACCACATTGAAAGACTTAAACAAGGAAAGTACTAGCCAATGGGGATACCACAAAGGGTGTGTTCACATCACACTAAGCTCTCAGGTTAACAGCCATCACCTTTATTTAAAAGTGTTTTGTTGCAGAAATCATTTGTATTTTTTGAAGGCTCTCTCAAAATGTGAAAAAGACGTCTAGGATAAAGAGGGGAAAAAGAAAATCTGTATTACATTCCAGTATTTTGTGAACTGTTTCAGAAGGTTTGCAGGGAAGGACTGGACTGCTGGTCACACTGGCTGGGGAGCAGGTTGGTAACAGTGCTGAAAAGCACATTTATTCTCCGTTGCAGACTTCAGCCAATGCATTTGTATTCGGAACCAAAACAGCTGAATCCCAAAGGAAGAAAAAAAACAAAAACAGCATCAGGTGTTAATAATTTGTACAGGGGTGGCTGTAAACTTTTACATTGTGAGGAAAATGTAAAAGAGAAGATCTCATCTCAGTAGTAACTGCTGTGCCTGGTCCTCCAGCAGAGTCATACTCAGCTAGGTTTTTCTTCATAGATTTCCATAAAGGGAATAGCCATATGAACAGGTCGGGGGGGAGGGAAGCGTTGTGGAGAAGAGGGTTTAATACAAATATAAGCTTTTATAAAGTGTGATTATCGGTCCTTTGGAAAGTTACAAGGACAAATGAACAGTGTGTTGTCAATCTATGCCGGCGATAATAGTTCTGTTTTGTGGAAGATCATATTGGCTGTATAAACAGCCAGTTCTGGGACCGACAGCTTTGACTGGAACAATGCATCCACCTTATAAACATTCCATCTTTTTGCTAAGTTTGGCATGGATATGTGTGTTCACGCTTTTATATATACACGTGTATGTGTCAGGGAAATGCATACTGTATATAGTATGAAAATACACATGCACACTGTACATACGTGTTCAGTCTTTAATGTACTTTGCACTGTGCCAGAGAGAACTGTACGATTTCTTGTTTGTTTGTTTTTTACCAGTAATTTCGGTCACAGTTCTACTTTCATATTCATTAGCACCTGTTTAATTTGTTGTCCACTCTTGGAGTCAGAAGGTGACAAACAATCAAAGGGTGGATTTACTCCTGCAGGCAAAATCCCTGTACTATGCAATACTCCTGGTTAGTCATCACTGAACTCTGAGCCATGTATGCTGGTGTATTTCTGAAAACACTTGTTTGGTTCTGATGTTTTGGGCTTATATTTCCTTTCAGGAAGTGCTATTATGTAATTGATAAGCCTGTTTAAGGTAAAATTGATGCTGTTTGTGTAAGCTACAAGAACCAGCGGTGATAATGAACCAGTTTGTTGTCACTGCCGATTGTAACATACATCAGGGATAAGAAAATGTACTTTCTGTGTAGGAAACTGAATGTACTGTATGTAATAGTGCAAGTGATGAAAGCTATTTGCTAAGGAAGATGTAGTCCTAAATTGGTAGGTTTTATTATATTTCTTATTGCCTTTTTATATGAAACTATATAGTAAAAATGTATTTTTTATGAATCCTTTTGCTGAAAATGCCTTGTTGTACCAATACTCTGATACTCCTCAGGTTTCAGCAGAGATACTGCTGCAAAATAACATTTTTTGTAGCTTGTCTGAGAATTTTGTTAGTTTATGTGACTGCAATGCAATTTTAATTTAGCAAGTCGTTCGGGCTTCCAGGCTTGTTTTTATTATTCCATCATTAGACATTTGACACTAAAGGTTATCTCTATTGATTTGTTTTGCATATCTTTTGTGGTGCGTGTATGCTTAGATGAATAATACAAGCACGCTCTTTGTAGTAAGAAAAGGTCAGAGCATTGATTGGAGAAAGCATATTTTCTCTTTGTGTTCGGAAAATATTGACTTGATCATTGGTAAAACAATATGAAAGTTATAGTTACATTGTGAGGAAAACATAATGCCCCACATGTTGAGCATAGCGTTTAAAACTTACTTCTTCTGTGCTTTCTTATGCTGAATTTCAGAGTTCTTTAGCTTAAAAGAAGTACTGCTCATGCAGTTTCACCGACAACAGTTTTAATTTTTTAACTGCCATTGGCATAGGAGAAACAAAGATGTTTCAAATTTCCCTTTGGCTTTTATGGAATGAGCTTTTTGTACATGGTACTATCATGGGTATAAATATTTGTTCGAGGCTCTGTGTGCGCCCAGGTGCGCAGGGCTTACTGTGAAGTTACAGTGCCAGGGTTTCACCCTGCGCTACAGTGGGTGAGATTCATGCGTTCAAAATGTTGCAGCAGAATATATTTTTTATTCTTTATTTTCCATGGGATGGCCTTCTCTGTAAACAGCAATAAAATAGTTTGTTCATTGTTGCCTGTTTTGTTTTATGTGTAAGCATCATCTGTGTGCACGGGTAGCTGTCGTACCTGGCAGTTTGTGACAACATCTGATGGGAGGAAGCTTTAATCAGAAGGATGAGATTGTTCCAATGTAGTTTATCTGAAGCAATTAATTTGAATTTGGGTCGGTCTGTGCTTTCAAAATAACAATTCGGGAATATATTCAACTATTTAGGTTTGAATATAGTATATTGCTGCTTAGAGTTTACTGAATTCTCATAGAAATCACTAAGGGGAAGAGACTCCTAAAAATGAGTTTGTCCTGTGTTCAGGTGAAGATCCGAACTATTTTTTTTAAAGCAGATAGTACCAGTAAGTTTAAACTTCATATACTTGAGGATTTATTATTTATATTATAGAGAAGTCTGTTGTTTTGATGCCTCCCTGCAGTGATCTGCCTGTGTTTAAGAAGCAACGTTAATTGTGTTAATGGTAACCTCAGTTACTTCACTGAGAAGTTATGGAACTTGGAGGTAACAACAGTCCAGAGGCATTTTGCATCTGTTTTCCCAAAAGATAGTGAATATCTTCTTGGTGCATATGCAGTATAAAAGACAACATGGTGTATTGTCATTGTTTTTCTGAGTTGCTTTTCTATCAACAGGGGTTCATCTGCTTATCTGGTTCTGTGTCTTGTAGCCTCTCGCGAGGCAGCTGCTGTGACACATCAGCGCACGGTAAGATCTCTTCCGTGTAAAATTAAACTGCAGCTGCTCCAGGAGGGCTGGCAGCTCTCATGGCCCTTGTTGCAGAAGACCCATGCAGTATGGAAATGGAAGAATACTGCATGGCAGGGCGAGTGCACGTCGCAGTTGGCGCTACAGCACTTCCAACACATTCGGTGTGGCTGTGTACATGTTGTAGGACTCTTGCAGGAATGACAATGAAAGAGCAACGTCACATTGGCTGAATGGATGGAAAGTCTTCCCATTTTTTGTCTACACCACTTCAGTGACTTTTATGCCAGTTGCTCTAAAACTGTGTGATTTTTAAAGCTCGTTCTCCTATAGACTTTAAATAGTAACTGATAAGTAACAATGGTGTAGAAAGTTGTAGAGAAAGCAAAGTGAAGTGTTCCTAGGTTTGTCCCCTGTCTGCTGTTCTAAGTAGGAGCTGAGGAGTGTGGTCTGTTTTAACGCAGCGGCGTGTGACTGAAACAGATTTTAGAAGCGGATAGCAGTATTTTTTTTTTTTCCTTTGATCGATTAGCTGTTCACATAATAGAGTTAAATGAATGTTTAGTTCCAGCGTTAGATGTGTGAACCTGGTCTAAAAGTTAAAAGGCACCTTGTGTTTCTATTGCTGCTTAAGCTGAATTGAAGCTAATACAGAGATAGGCTGGCTTAGTTCAAAGGAAAAAAAAAAAAGGAAAAAAGACCCCTTGAGATCAATTTCGGAGGTCATATATTCCTCCTCTCTTTTTTTATTGCATGTAAAACTATTGGAGTGAGTAAAAAGTGCTTGCTTGGAATTGCCTAAGTGATGCAGGGAGGCAGAAAGTGATTCACATCCATTTCTCTGCTGAAAGGGTTGCTGCTTTTTTCTCAAGCCTCGCTTGCAATCTTTTGCTCCGTGAAGCTTACTGACTAGCCCACAGATCGTGGGATCCCGTTCCCAACCCTGTCAGTGTTCCTGTTGTTTCTGAGATCACGCAGAGCCATTTGGGGGCTTTATCTTAAAATCTGAGGTCTGTTGTAAGCTCGCTGTGTTTTGAGTCAGCAACTTTGAGACATTTTATGCTGTGATTTATTTATTTATTCATTTTTACAGCAGAAACCCCAGAGATTATTAATTTTAAAACAGCAAACACATATATCTTAAAAGGTTCTCCTCTGCTGTTTGCCCTAAATAAATTCTTACTGCTGTGGCTGTGGAGATGATGGGAGACCTGTATGTGCTTCAAGTATGCCATTACAGTGGTCTGATAGGCTTTTAACTCCCTCCCTTACATGAATCATCCATCCTTGTCCTAGCAGATCATTTTGATTAGCTGTAATTTGTCCCATCTGAATGAGAATCAGCTCCCACCAGCTCCGGAGTCTCCCAGCCCTGCTGTATGATCTAAGGAGTCCTTCCTGAGCTGCTTCTCCCCTTAGCTTTATGGGCTGCTGCTAGTTTTATTCCAGCTTTCATTACCTGCCGTGGAACTGTTTAGTGCTGATGGCGGAGGCTGCACGCCGGCACTTCTTGCCTTGTTAAAATACACGAAGGCATTTTCATCCACCTGAGATTCACTTTTCAGCCTCCGAAGTCAAAGCCCTTCCAGGGCAAATCGTGTGAGCAGACAGATGCCAGCGCAGGAGGAAAGGGAGCTCGCATCCCGTGTTGTGCGAACAGACAAATGTGAACAGATGTACAGGCTTGAAGCTGGCAGGAACACGCTCCTGCCAGTGATTCCTTTCTAGTTATGACAGCTGGAAGGAAATGAATACGCCACAAAACCACCATGGTAATTGCCATTACCCTGCGCTGGCAGTCTGAGCGGTGAGGTCAAGGATGGGAAAGACAAAGGCTCATCCACCCTCCCAGGTGGGAGCTGAGGGGGACTGGCGAGGCACTGGGAAGACCTCCGTGAACGATGGCGCACCTCAGTCTGTTTCACAAGCACAAAAGGCTGGGATTTCACTGGATTCCTCATTTTCTCACATGTGGGTTGTTTTCCTATGAGTTAGGGCAGTGCTGTGTTCCTCCAAGCGATTGTGCTAATGCTGCTGAGATCGGAGTGGAGCTCCCAGGCAGGTCTGAACAATTCTTCCCTCCGCTTCCATCTCTGCAGAGCGGTGCAGCCGCGCAGGGCTCCCTCCTGCCGGAGAGCCTCTGTTCTGAGGGAAGGGTCTTGGCACGTGCTTCTTGCTCCTGCACTGTTTTGAAAAAACAAGGGAAGGGCCCTGCATCTTGACTGCATGATCCCAGTGCAATGTGCTGTTGCTGCCTGGGAATGCTGATGGTGCTGTGCTAGGAGCAGAGGCCTCTCACCCGAGGCAGTGCTCTGCTACTCAAGGTGTGGCCTGCAAAGAGCTTTCCGTTCGTCGGGCTGCCTCTTAATTGCGTGTGCTTGCATGAACACAGCAGTGGGGAGAGCAGAATTAAATAAATGCTCAGTTCTAGTCTGGCTTTGGCTTATGCTTGTGCTTTAGGGGTGAGCTACTAGATCGGTCGGCGCTTTGAGGTGCAGTGTCCCAAGGAGGCTGCTTGGATCTCCAAGGCCTAGAAGAAATACAGAGGCCTCCTTGGAGATCCTTGCTTGCTCTACAGAGAGCTGCTTTCCCTTCTCCACAGGGGATCTGTTTTCCTTCTGTTTCACCACTGCAAGCCCAGAGATGCCTTTGGCCCACCTGAGCAATGCACCAAAATCCTGCCTGAGGTGGCAGCTTTTACTTATCAGGCACAGTGGGCGGCGGTGGCTGCTTTGTGGGTGTGGGTTTTTTGTTTTGCTGTGTTTTAACTTAACGCTGCTTTGTGTATTTTCAAAGGACCGGAGCAAGGAGTGCTCAGCTCAGCCACAGGGAACGTATTGCTTCCATATATCTCTGTGTTCACCGTAGTGCATTAATTGTAAACTGTCTTTGGGTTTGTGTGTGGTTATGGGGATGAACAGGTTGGGGAAAGTTTTTGAATGAATTAAATTAAATGTTTTGAAAGAAAACAGAAATGGAAGGCAGGGGTGAATGATGCGGCTTGTGTGCAATAAACACGGAAAGAAAAATATGTGGAGAATGAAGTAATGGAAAATCGGAGGAGAAGGAGGAAGCCAGGTGGGGGTACGAGCTCACACAGTTTCAGGTTTGGATGGATTGCTGAGTCATAGCTCATGTCTTTTGACTACTTGACCTGGGATTTCAAGGCGGAGAGTTAGAGGTTAACATTCAGAGCCATGGAAGGGGTGTGAAATATTTCATCTTGTGTCAAAATGGGTGGTTTTCTCCCTTTGGTTTGCTGTTCGCCAGTTGCAAATCATAATGTGTCTCTTTAGCATGAGCGCTGTGGTGTGTGATTAAAGGAGAACCCATGGGCCTGTCAGTAACATCACATGCCAAAGACTTCTCGAGAAGATTTCACCTGCAAGCATGGGCTGAGTCCTTGGGTTCCCTATGCGATTCCTGGGGCATCCTCTCGTTCTGTCCTTCAGTCGCTTCTCCCTAATGGAACGAGCCACTGCTTCCAATTTGCTCTCGATGTGATTTCTCTTCAGGTCACACCCGCAGAGGAGCACAGGATGGGGTTTAATTTCATACAACTTCATGCCTTCATATCCTAATTATGTCTAGACTGTCCCTCACTGTAGTCCCCTGTCGGTCTAGTTGACTGAGTTCAGGGTAGGAGCGATCTGACCAGACGCCAACATCTGCTTCACGAGATCCGAGCTCTCCTGACTGCCTGGGTTTTATTGGCACGATTCCTGGCAGCTATCACGGGAGCCGCAGTGCCCATCCTGCTTACCTCCAGCATGCGAACTGGTTTCCCACCAGAAGTGCTGTTGGTTTTAGGCTAAATGGAACAATCCTGTACTCGAACCCTTTGGAAAGACCTACCTGGTGTTTGGAAGGGGCACATTTTACCAAAATCCACTCGATACCTTTACAGCGTGGGGTGCAGGTGGGGTTTCAGTCCCTTCCCTTTGATGAGGTCTCAGCAGACAGCAAGTGACTTCTACAGCAGCAGCTCCCACCTTTAGTAGCTTTCCCGTGCCTACTGATGGGACTTTTTGGGCTTTTTTTGCACTTTTAGGCGTCTTCTCCCAGCGGGAGGGAGCTCCTCGTTCTGTGTCCTGCCCTTTGGTAGCTCCTGGTCCGTGAGGTGCCAGGCCTGGACAAAACGCTGCCCATCATCTCCGGCTCTTAAGCAGAGAAGGATGGGAGCGCTGTCGGGGAGGATGTGGTGAGAAGGATGATATTAAAACAATGCAGAAAATGCGGCCGTCCTCAGACAGCTGCGGGCTGAGGAGCATTAGTAATCCCGGGAGCCGGGGGG